GAAGTCTCCCAGTATAAGTGTGTGTGGCTTTATATGTGATTTAAGCTTTAGTAATGTTTCTTTTACGAACGTGGATGCCTTTGTATTTGGGGCAAAGATGTTCAGAATTGAAACTTCATCTTGGTGGATTTCTCCTGTGATGAGTATGTAATGACCTCCTTCATCTCTTTTGTCTGATTTCAGTTTAAAGTCTAATTTGTTAGATATTAGGATTGCTACCCCCTGCTTGTTTCTTGGTTCCATTTGATTGGAAAATGTTTTCCCAACCTTTAACTCTGAGGTAATGTCTGTCTTTGAGGGTGAGGTGTGTTTCTTGTATGCAGCAGAAGGATGGGTTCTGTCTTCGAATCCATTCTGTTAGCCTGTGTCTTTTTATGGGCGAGTTAAGACCATTAGTATTGAGGGATATTAATGACCACTTATTGCTCATTCTTCTTTGATTTGGAATGGTTGTTGTTGTTGGAATTCCACCCATTTTTTCTTTTGGCTGTTTGTAAGGTGGGATTATCTAATGCCTTTGTTTTTCTGGTTGTAGTTAACTTCATTGGGTTGGAGTTTTCCTTCCAGAACTTTCTGTAGGGCTGGGTTAGTGGATAGCTTGAATCTAGTTTTTTAATGGAATATCTTTTTTTCTCCATATATATTGATCAAAAGCTTTCCTGGGTATAGTAGTCTGGGTTGGCATCCATGGTCTCTTAGTGTTGGTAGAATATCTGTGTAGGACCTTCTCACTTTCAGAGTTTCCCTGGAGAAGTCAGGTGTAATTCTGAAAGGTTTGCCTTTATATGTTACTTGACTTTTTTCCTTAGCTGTTCTTAATATTCTTTCTTTATTCTGTATATTTGAGGTCTTGATTTTTATGTGGCAAAGGGAATTTTTTTTTGGTTTTTATGAGACAGGGTTTCTCTGTATTGTTTTGGAGGCTGTCGGTCCAGCCTGTCCTTGAATTCACAGAGATCCACCTGCCTCGGCCTTCCGAGTGCTGGGATTAAAGGTGTGCACCACCACCACCTGGCCAGGGGGACTTTTTTTTGATCCATTCTGCTTGGTGTTCTGTAGGCTTCTTGTACCTTCATTGGCATGTCTTTCTTTAAGTTGGAAAAGTTTTCTTCTATGATTTTGTTGAATATATTTTCTGTCCCTTTGAGGTGGTTTTCTTCACCTTCTTCTATACCTATTATTCTTAGGTTTGGTCTTTTCATGGTATCCCATATTTCCTGGATGTTTTGTGTTAGGGAATTGTTGACTTAAGATTTTCTTTGGTTGATGAATCAATTTCTCCTAGTGTATTTTCAACACTTGAGATTCTCTCTTCCATCTCTTGTATTCTGTTGGTTATGCTTGCATCTGTAGTACCTGACCGTTTGCCCAGCTTTTCTATTTCCAGCCTTCCTTCAGATTCTGTTTTTTTATTGTCTTTATTTAAGTTTTCACCCCTTGCACTGTTTGAATTGTTTCTTGCAATTTTTGCTTTGTCTTTTCGTCCATTTGTTGCCTCTTTTTGAATTTTTTGGTTTGTTTTTTCTTCCATTACTAGCTTTTTTTTGATTTGCTTTTTCTTCCATTTCTTGCATTTTTTGCTTTGTTTTTTCTTCTGTTTCTGGCATTTTTTGGTTTCCTTTTTCTTCCATTTCTTTGAGGGATTTTCCTATATCCTCCTTTAGGGCCTCTATTATTTTCATGAAGTTGTTTTTAAGGTCATTCCCTTCTGCTACGTTTGCATTGGAATGTTGGAGTCTTGCTGGTGTGGAGTCTCTAGAATCTGGCGGTGTCATATTTGTTTTTCTGTTGCTGAGTGTGTTTTTGTATTGTCTCTTTCCCATATCTTCTTCTAGTGGGTGCATAAAGAGCCCCTTACTGATCTGGTGGTTAGGGGACCTGAGTTCCCTTTCGGTGGGTGCAAGCAAGTCCAATACTCTGGTAGTTCTCCTCTTCCTGGTCCCATTGGTGGAGAAGAAGACCAGGAATCTGGGGTGTGTAGGGTCTCGGTGGCAGTCTTCAGGAACTAGTCCACTGGTCCCCTGGGCCTGTTGGTAGAAGAGAAGACCAGGAATCTGGGGTGCATGGCTCCCGCCTGGAGGGGAGTCTCTGTGGCAGTCCCCAGGCACTGGAAGGTAAGCCCGGATACAGGGCCTGGTGTACTTGCTCCCCTAGCCCCGCTGGTGGAAGAGAAGGCCAGGAATCTGGGGTGCCAGTGCATAGTCTCCAGCAGGGAGGGGAGGCTTTGTAGCAGTCCCCCTGTTCCCATTAGTGGAAGAGAAGATCAGGCTTGATTTGACTTTTTAGGGCAGTGATGGCTCATTTATGCATTTATGACTGTTTGGAAAATGTCTCTTGTGAGAAAATTGACTTTGGGGAGTCAGGATGATCACCCTCACACATTACAAGACACCTCACATCTAGATTCATTGGGAGGCAGCCTGCAGCCAGGAAGATGTTTCCAATACATGTAATATCATTTATTAAATATATATTTATACACATATGAATATGTATTTATATATTTCAATATCTATATTCATACATTTGGCATGGTCTCACTATGTAGTCCTGGCTGTCCTGGAACTCTGTGGAGATCAGACTGTCCTCAAACTCAGAGATCAGCTTGTCTCTTTGTCCCAAGTGCTGGGATTAATGATGTGCCACCACAACCCCCTTATCCTCCGCTCCAGACTTTTTATAAGCAAAACCTATCTTAAATGAAATCTAAAGAAATACTCCAACTTCAAAACCAAGGCAACTGAAAATAGACCTACTGTATCTAACCAGGACTGAGGGTACAGGGAACAGAATCCTATTGGAAGTGTAGGGAATATTCTGGAACCTGGTTGTGCAATGCTGGAAATTTTCTAAAATCTATAACCTTCTAAGGGACAACTGACATCCAATTCCTACCTTACAGATGTCTGATAGGGTCCCACCCTGGGCTACAGGATCTTCTGAATTGCAAGAGAAACCAGTGGTTCAGAGCCTACACTGCACAAGACATTTGGCGGTCTCTGGGATGCTTTCAGTTGGAGTAAGGGGTGGTACTTTTCACATAGTGGAAATGTGTGCACCTCCTGGTGTACGGAAAACAGAAAGATAAAGAAAGAGAGAGGGGAGGTGTCCACAGACAAGATACACTTTTCAAAAGCAAATCAACAGTGGTCTGCTGCCTTCATTGAGATCCCAAATCCTAGCAGCCCGTTAAACTATGGCATCACCATGGATTTGGTGATGAAGCTAGTGCTCTCATGGTCTCATCACACGTTGATAATACCACTAACTGAAGACCAAGCCTTCAACATCTGAGATAACAATATTCTACCGTTGGCCCCCAAATGCTCATGCTCATCTTTTTGTTTAACTCATCTCCAAGAGTCTTAACGTCTCAATAATTCCATGTTTCTCAAACGTCCAAGTCTAGAGTAACTTCTGAACCTTGAGGCAAACCTTTAGCTGTGAGCTTCCTGAAAAGCAAAGAACGAAGGGTGGTGGTGGCACACACCTTTAATCCCTGCACTAAAGAGGTAGAGGCAGGTGGATCTCTGTGAGTTCGAGGCCAGCCTGGTCTACAGAGCGAGTTCCAGGACAGCATCTAAAATAATACAGAGAAATTCTGTCTCAGAAAAAAAAGCAAAAAAAAGCAAAAGCAAAAAACAAGCAAAGAACAAGCTTCACACTTACAAAATATAATAACATAACAAATATTCCCATTCAAAACGGTGGAAATTTAGCCGTATACTCAATCTGTGGTGGCATCTCTTCTTCTCCGCATCCCTACTGTGACTAATTTTTAGTTAAATAAAAGTTTTCTTATTGAGTCTAAACAGGTATCTCTGTGTTGTGTAGCTATTTTCTCTGAATTAAAGCATTCTGTCCTGGAGTACAATGAGAGGCTCCTAAATCTCAGGAAGCTAATTGAAAAACCACAGGAAGTCCTTCCTGCACTTATGACTCAAAAAGTTCAGAATGTTACAAGATTCATGAGGCTCCTCCACAAGCTGATGTAAACAGTAAGCACTGGCTGGGGCAACAGGAACCTCCTCTGCCGTGGTGCCTTCAGGTTGAGGAAAGAGCTCAGAGATGAAGTTTTCATGAGCTATCAGCCATGCTGAGATGGGTTTTTCAGCGATGCAACTGGTCAGGCGTTTCCCATGCTTCTGTAAGTAAAGTCAATCAGTGCAGTGTTTCCAAGCTATACATGGATGTCACTGATGTGTCATCAGTGCTCTGTGTGGGTAAGTCGTTATATGTTCTATTTCCCCAGGAAGAGTCACATGACACTAACTCACCATGGTTTGCATCTAAATGACCTTGACCTTGCTGATAGGGAATGTTGAATACCTTCCTTCAGGCACAGAGAGCTGCTGAAGTTTTTCTATGCCAGGAAGCTGCTCACAACTCAGCTTCCCTCTCCTGCATGGACCCATCACCCTGACCACAGATACATATGACCCCATCAAGCATTGCTCTCTGGGTTGAAGAGGCTCCATCCTGCCTGAGACCCACTGCTTGGTAGCTAGAAGCAAGAGTAGAGTAGCCCAGGGCCTGCTGAAGCTTTAGGGAAACCTATCTCCAGATGTTGCCAGTAAGACTCAAGGGGTCATGGGCTGTTTGCTTGTTTACCCACCTGGGGCCTCTCTCCAAATCAGTGCCCTGAGCACCATGAAAACAACTACTACTGGGCTTGCCTGTCCCTCAGGAGACAGTCAGACCCATTGCTGCCCTTCCTATAGTTTGCAGATGATGCCCGGAGCTGTGCCTTTGGATGCAGAGAGTTTAGGAAGCCTCGAGAGAAGGGGATACAACTTTTAATGGTTCTGGGATTTAGTGCTCACAAGCCTTCACCAATTTATGATCAATATTCTCTACACAGCCTGCCCGCCTAGTGTTCCCAGTGTGGTCTTAGCCTCAGGTCGTTGATCAAGGCAGTTGCTAGATAAAAGCTCTCTTAACTACAAGCCACTGCCCCATATGGGGCTGTCCTGTCACTGGCTGTCTGGCCTCCAGCAGGCATGTGGCTGTGCACCTTCCTTCCTGTTCTCTTTGGCTGCCTCTCTGGTTCTGCCCTTTCTCAACCAAGAGCCTGGCTGTTGCCAAAGCAGAGGCCTCGCTTTGTCCGTCCTGGAGATATAATGGTGGGTGGAAGCTTCTCCATCTTTCGATTCTCTAATAGTACCCTGTCTGACTTCACTGCCCCACCAGCTGGACTGCATGATTCAGGGTAAGTGCTGGATATGTGGTAGTTGTCTCTGAAATCCCAAAGCCACTTTACAAGGTTTTGTGAAGCCTTGGACAAGGGTTGATTCTCAGAATCCCAGCTAGACTGCCACTGCCTTTTTCTTTGTATACAGAATGTGGCTTTGTTCCTCTCATTTTCCATCATCTCTTTCTGTCTTCCTTCCTTCCTTCCTTCCTCCCTTCCTTCCTTCCTTCCTTCCCTCCTTCCTTTCTTTCTTTCTCTCTTTCTTTCGTTCTTGTTTTTAGCAAAGTGAAATATAGGCTGATTACGTATTGGCTGTAATGTATGCGTTCCACAGGTCAAGTGGTGTATTCTTGATTCTCTTGTATATGTTTGGTTCTTAAAATAGTGTCTAGACAGATGCGTTTGTTGAATGGATTAATGTATAAATAATAGATTTTTCATCAGTTATCAGCCCCACAATTCCTCTCTATTGTATTCCTTTTTTTGATGCATTTTGTTTGTTGAGATAGGGTTTCTCTGAATAGCCCTGACTGACTGTCCTGGAACTTTCTTTGTAGACATGGCCTCAAACTCAGAGAGATCCACCTGACTCTCTACCTCTGGAGGGCTGGGTATAAAAGTGTGCACCACCAAAGTTGGTTACTGTATTCCTTTCACTTGTAATTTTTTTCTAAGAGTCTCATGTGGCTTCTAATTCATTGGGTATCAAAGGTGACCTTGAATTTGTGAAAAGCTTTCAGCTGTACCTGCCTCTACTTCCTCGGTGCTGGGATTATAGGACTGTACCACCACACTCGTTTTTTGAGGTGCTGCAGATGAAACTTACGACCTGAGCCATAAATACAATCCCTCCTTTGCCTATGCTTGTCTTAGCTCTTCCAATTTACTGTTGTGTGGAGTAGTTCCAACACAGCCTTTTTGGTTATTACTATTTTTTAAATGTTTGTATTTAGCTTTATTTTTTTAATTGGCTGAATATGGGGTGTGTGACTCTACTTTTAGCACCCAGGAAGCTGAAACAGGAGTATTGATGGTTTCAGGCCAGATTGGGGAATAGAATGTGACTTCAGTCAAAAAACAGTTGTTAAGAGTATTTTCTACAGTAACTATGATCATTTTGTATTCAGGCACAAATGCAAGAGATTTTCCCTTGTTCATTTTCACATTTGACATCACTTTAAATGACTAGTTTTTTGAGACAGTATCTCACTTTGTGCTCCAACTAGCCTGTAACTCCTTGTGTAATCCAGGCTAGCCATAAACATGGGATTACAGGCATGACTCACTACACTGGCTTGCCTTTCCTTTTGAGACAGGGTCTTGCTCTGTATGCACGATGATCATAAACTCACAATCTTCTTGCCTCCCTAGCCTGAGGGTTTGAATCATACGTGTGTGCCATCCAAAGGATTAATTCTGTATAGTTTCACCCATGAACAATATTAAGCTCAGAAACAGAAAGCAGAATGTGGTGGCCAGGGACAGAGGAGTTATTATTTTCTAATGGGTATAGAGATTCCATACAGGAAGTGGAGAAGAACTTGGCAGATGGCTGGTTGTCATGGTTTCATAGAAAATGTATTCAATGCCACTTTTTATACAGTTAACATGGTTATGGTGATAAATTTTATGTTGTTTTATGTATTTTCAAGTCTTACAAAAGCATTTTCCTTAAGTATGATGATCTTGACTCTGACTACTCACAGCTGAATCACCATCAACACATCACTGAACCTCTTTCTCTTGTTCCCCCGTATGTCATCAGTGACAATAGTCCTGCCCTGCCCTGTCAAGTGATTGTCAGATAATGTGTATAAAAATACAGTAAGGGCTTAAATAATGGGTTATTGACAATTGCAATTTTTCAAAAAGGAGTAAAAATTAGTATCTGCATTTCAATACAAATTCAGGAAAGTAAAAAAAAACAAGTGTGTGCCATCATACCTGCATAGTATGTTATTTTTTTAAGCCAATGAATAATAATTGTATGTATGTATTAGGTACAAAGCTGTATTTTAATAAATGTATACATTATGGAATGATTAATCAAGCTTACCAGCAAACCCATCAATTTGCATACTTATTTTTTGGTAATATGAACATTTAAAATGTAACATTGGAGCCGGGCAGTGGTGGCATACACCTTTAATCCCAGCACTCGGGAGGCAGAGGCAGGTGGATCTCTGTGAGTTCCAGACCAAGCATGGTCTACTGAGTGAGTTCCAGGACAGGATCCAAAACAATACAGAGAAACCCTGTCTCGAAAAACCAAAAAAAAGTAACATTGGAGGTAGACACAGGAGAATCTGAAAGTGAATGTCTTAGGGTCTGGGGAAATGCCTGAGTTGAGGTGTCTGCTGTGCTAGCATGAACCCCTGAGTTTGATTGCAAGTACTCATTTGAAATCATAGCATGCTGAGCATCTGTAACCCTCATTAGGAGAGGTGAGACAGATTCCCAAGGTCACTGGCCAGCAAGCTTATCTGAATAGATGAGTTCCAAGTTCAGTGAGATGAACTGTCTCAAAAAATAAGGTGGAGACGGGCCAGTGAGATGGCCCTCAGAATGCAAGCCTGGTGGACAACCTGATTTTGAACCTTCCCTGAAACCCACATCAAGGTGGAAGGAGAGAATTGGCTCACTAATTTGTTCCACGACCTCCATGTGTTGTAGCATGTGTGGCTCTACAGACACATCATATGCACACATGCACACAGCATTGTACAGGCCCAGTGCAGATACCGGCAGCTGCCATGAGAGATCAAGTCTGCAGTGTTTGAGTCATGGCCTGAACCAGCATTTCGTATTTCTCCCCTACTTCTGGCTCTTACTTTTAGCAATTCTGAAATAGATGTTAGTTCCTTTTCATTGCAACCAACCGTACAATGCAGCAGATTTTTTTTTTCTTGAGACGGAGTCTTTCTGTGTAGCTCTGCATCTCTGCATTTGGCTATGTAATCCATGCTGGTGTCCAACTTACAAACATCCACCTGCCTCTGCTTCCTGAATGCTGGGATTAGACAAGTGTGCTACCATACCTAGCTTATTCAGTTATCCCTCCTGTCTTCTGAAATGCCCCATTGATTATTGTCTCCACATTTCCTCTGGCTCCCTCTTCTGAACTGTGTTCCTGTGCATATCCGTGTATAAGTATTTGTGGAGATGCATGCTTTTCCTTGTATCCCTTGAGTCACTGTGTTTATTCTCATTCCATTTACCCCATCATGAGTAATAATGTGGGCTTCTGTCTCCTTCAGAGTTTCCCAGTGGGGCTACCGGGTGGCCCAGAGTTTTGTCTTTGCCATTGAGGAGATTAATAGGAGTGCTCACTTGTTGCCCAATTTGACCTTGGGCTTCTCCATTCGAAACTCTGGGGATACAGTGCATGGAGCTGTCCATGAGACTCTGAGCTTCCTCACGAGGCAGGAGGAGCCCATCCCCAACTACACCTGCCAGCATGACTCTCCTCAGGCTGCCCTCGTTGGGGACACACGATCGGCCCTGTCTGTCTCCATGGCCAGACTTCTAGGGCTGTACAGGTTCCCCCAGGTAAGTTTCTCAAAGCTTTCTTCATTTGTGAATGCAGCACAATTAGTTAATGATGATAGTGACAATTATGGTGATGGTCATGGTAGCGAACAGCTCTACTGTGGAGCCAGGCTCCCTGCAAATATTCCCCGTGCCCAATATTGTTTTCCTGCATGTATGGATAGGGTAGAGAGAACTATTATCCCCTTGCATTGAGGAAGAGACTGAAACTTCTCATAAATTAAAATGTATTTTTAAAGATTTTGGATGGTTTGAGAGAAAATGGCTTCCAAACACAGTGGCACTATTAGAAGATGTGGCTTTGTTGGAGGAAGTATGTCGCTGTGGAGGTGGCCTTTGATGTCTTCTATGGTCAAGTTACTCCCAGTGTTGACAGTTCACTTCCTGTTGCAGCATATCAAGATGTAGAATTCTCAGCTCCTATTCCAGGAATATGTATACCTATATTATGCCATGTCTTGGCACGATGATAATGGACCAAGCCTCTGAAATGTAAGCCATCCAATTAAGTATTTTCCTTTATAAGAGTTGCCATGGTCATGGTTTCTCTTCACAGCAGAAGAAACACTAGCTAACACAAAGAGTTACTTTTTTTCAAATGTGTATGGGTATTTTACCTTCATGCATAAATATGTACCACATGTGTGCCTGGGTTCTAAGGAAGTCAGAAGATGGCAGTGGATTCCCTAGAACTGAAATTGAAGATTGTTTTTAGCTGCCATGAGGGTGTTGGGAATTGAACTCAGGTCCTCTAAAAGAGTAGCAATACTGTTAACCACTGATCTATTTATCCAGCCTATTTGTTATTATTATTATTATTATTATTCTCTGTGTATGTGTGTGTGTGTGTATGTGTGTATGTGTGTGTGTACATTAAACACCAGTGCCATGGTGCTCCTGTGGAGGTTTAAAGACAACTTTTGGGTGTGAGTTCCTTACTTCTACAGTGTAGGTTCTGGGCATCTTTCCAGCTATCTCTCTCACACACAGAACTCCACAAAACAAAAACACACAAATGAATAAAACAAACAATCTCCCCCAAAACAACTCGTCAGTAAGCTCATCTGGATGTAAGTGTTAGAGCTGTGATTTGAGTCTAGGCAATTGGGATCATGCCTCTTGTTCCCAAGTATTCCATGGATGTTCCTTGTAACCCAGCCATCAGTGTCATGACTACAATGGAGGCCATATCTGATAATCAACTCTTCAGTTCATGGTTTTAAGAGGCAACTAGAGGCTAATTTATCCAATTAAAGTGAACAACTCAGTAGCTTGTATCTTAGCATGATTACCACAGTTGATTTGAGAATGTTTTCATCTTTTTGCAAAGAGTCTCCTCCCTCCGGCCAAGCCCATTGGCTACCACATCCCATCATTCCTACTCTGAATCAACTTCTAGTCTACTTTTTTGTCTCTATGGATATGACTTTTAAATGATTGGACTCATTTTATGTAGATAAACAGACTGAGCTCTTTCACTGAGCATGCCTCTTGTTCATGTTGGAGCATGTGCCAGTATTTCACTCCTTATCAGCATCTATAGTCCTTTGCATGCAAAGAGCATGTTTTGTTTATTCATTTATCAGTTCATATACCTTTGATTATGAAATATTCTCATGTGTTTGAAGACTTAACTGCCTCCTAGCTGTGGGTCAGCATTAGAAGGTTATACAACCTTTAGGAGCATGGCCTCAGAGGTGGGCATTAAGGTTTAATACTGTGATCTCACTTCCTGTACGTTTTCTGCTTCCTGTCCCACCAAGATATGAGGAGGTTGGGTGGTGGCGGCTGCACATGCCTTCAATACCAACACTCAAGGGGACAAGTGGATCACCTGAGTTCCATGACAGCTTTGTCTTCAGAGCTAGTTCCCCGACAGCCAGGGAAGTTACACAGAGAAACCCTGTCTCAAAAGACAAAAACAAAAACTCAAAAATAAACAATACAAAAACTATGAGAAAGTGAGAATTCCCAGGTCCACATCTGCCTCCATTCCATCTGCTGCCATGTGTACATGGATTGTACATTCTCAAACCGTGAGCCTAAATCAACTCTTCCTCGCTAAAGCTGCTTCTTGTCAGGTGTTTCTCTCACACCACTGAGCAATCGCTACTACAGTTGCTTCCTCTTTGGGGCTCTCATGCATGCTGTTTCTATGAATATTTGAGTATAGGGTTTTTTTGTGGTCATATACTTTTGGTTATCTTAGGAATGCAGATAACATTGCTGGGTCAAATGGCAACTCTGTTGAATCTTTCAGTCAATCACCAAAATGACAGACATGCCTGAGACAAACAGCTTGAGAGAGGAAAGATTTGTTCTGGCTTAGCTTCTGAAGTTTCACGGCTTTGTCTTCTGATGCTATTGTTTCTGTGGTAATAGAGCTTCATGGCAGAAGTGTGTGTTGGGATACACACCCCAGTGGTCAGGAAGCAGAGAGACATAGGGTGTAGGAGACACAATACATTTTACTGATGGGGGATGTCCTTCTGTATATATGTTTCTCTTATTGGTCGATGAATAAAACACTGTTTGGCCAGTGAGGCAGAAAGATAGGCTGGGCTAAGAGATGAGGAGAATTCTGGGAAAAGCAGGTAGAGGGCACCCACCAAAGAACACCATGTAAGCCACCATAGGAGTAACAGGTGCCGCCCCTTCTCTAGTAAGATACGACCACGTGGACATATTTAGATGAATAGAAATGGGTTAATGATTAAGACAGAGCTAGCCAATAAGAAGCCCTAGCTATTGACCAACAGTTTAATAATTATTATTGAGTATGTGTGTTTACTTGGGGATGAGAAGGACGGAGGAAACCAGTGGGACAAGAAAACTACAGCAACATCTCAACCAGGACACAGTTCCAGGGATCTGATTCCTCCAAGCAGCTCCCACCTACTTCCCATGGGGTCTATAAAATGCTACCACTATGACTCCATTAAAGAGTTAACCGTTTGATTAGATCAGACTCCCCAGCATCCAGTCACTTCCCAGAAGCCCATCTGCTGGAAACCAAGTCCCCAACATGTGAGCCTCCTGGTGATATCTCAGATTCAACCATGACAGTCACAGCAAGGGATGCGTTGTCACTCCGTTGCTAGAGCACTTTCCTAGCACACACAAGGCGCTGGGTCTAAACTCCAGCTCTCTTGCAATACAGCAGTCAGGGGGTGGAGACAAGATGATCCAGTGTGCCATGTTATCCTCAGCTATATAGTGAGACTGAGGTGAGCCTTGGCTTGTTGAAACCCTTTCTCAAGTATATTTGCTTATGTGATGTGAAGTGGGAATGAATTACATTAATGTAAGCAGTGTATGAAGAGTCTGATTTAAATCCATTTGTTTCCCACTATGAAGTCTTATATCTGAGTAAATTCCAGTCTCTTTGAATGTCTCACATTTGTTGAATTTTTTTTCTGCCCGATGGGCTTTCCCCTTTAAAATGAAGCTGGGGCCATGTAATTCACAAAGCTGTATCCAAGGACTTATGTATAACCACCTTAGTGTAGATTCTCACTAAAGGGCTTTCTGAACTGGAGGTTTCTGTCATGTTTTGTTTCTTGAGACGTAGAGTCTTAACCTGAAGACCTAACTGGCTTAGAACTCACCATGCAGTAAAGACTGGCCTTGAAATTGTTGATAGATTCTCATGCCTCAGCCTCTCAAGTGCTACAATACAGGTGTGCTTCACCTTGCTTGGCTGTAAGGTTGGTTTATTTCTTTCTTTGAAATTCTGTCACAGCTAATGTATGTGTATGTGTGTCCATGAGTGCATGCCTCATGCGTGTGTGTGTGTGTGTGTGTGTGTGTGTGTGTGTGTGTGTGTGTGTTGAGACAGAAAGTCTGTGTAGCCTAGGCTGCCTCGGAACTCCTGTTCCTCTTTCCTGTAATTCCTAAGTGTCACTCACTATCATGCCTAGAACAGAAACTTGATATATTGAACATACCTCAAGAGCTTCTAGGTTTTGAACTTAAGGGGCTACCTGTTAAGGTTTAGTTAAATTCGCATTTAGGAATCAGAGAGGTGGTTCAGAGGTTAAGAGGACTGGATGCTCTTCTAGTGGACCCAGATTCAATTCCCAGCACCCACATGGTGGCTCACAACCATCTGTAACTCTGTTTCAGCAATGGGGCTTCTTCTTCTGTCCTCCAAGGGCACCAAACACATATGTGGTAATACTCATACATACAGTCATACATGGAAAATAATACAAATTTGAATATCAAGGAAATAATGATTTATTTATAATCTACAAATAAATTATCTTTCTCCCAATATTTCCAGTAAAGTATAATTCGATATTAGTTAATAATGTGTATTTAATGGGAGAAGCTTATACAAAAATGATCATTCATTGTCTGCAATCAAAACGCAACTGGATATCTTCCATTTTATTGCACAGTCTCGCAGAACCACCTGTGTGAGACTGAGTCAGCCGTATCTCTCCATATGAATCAAGAAAATGCTAGTGTCTCTGTGTTAAGACAATAAAACCTTTACACATCTTTAGTGGCAAGAGAAGGTTTTACATTCATACCCTGAGGCTGAGAAGCCACATTCTGTGCCCCTCAAAACAAACACAGACACAGAGCCCCACTTGTCCCATCTCTAAGAACTTTCTCTCTTGAGAACATGGTACTATATCTTTCTTGACAGCTTGAAAAATCAGACTCCTATTTGTCTCAAAACTGGAAAATCTCATAATGGTTGTGTGATAAGATCCAATTGTTGTTTTGCAGGTTGGTTCCTACCAGGGACAGCAAGATGACTGGTGGGGTAAAGGTGCCAGCCTCAAAATTGAGTGAGGCTCTGGAATCCACGTGGTGAAAAAGAGAACCAGCTCCCACAATTTGTCTTAAACTTCTACACATGTATCATTACACACGCACGCATGCACGCACGCACACAGGGACACGGACACATTAGAATTTTCAAAAGAACAACATAGCAGCTGTGTGCAAAGCAGAGAGTCAGACCAATCCTACCTGAGGTGCAGGAATGAAATATTAGGGGGCAGGTGCAGGGCAGATGCTGAGAGGAGAGCAGGAGCTAAGGTTCTGGGCTTCATTCCAGAAGCCACAAGGCGGTGTCTGGGATGATCAGCAGTGAGGGGCACAGAGCTGCTTTTAGAATCAGCACAGTTCTCAAAGTAGGGTGCTCAAGTCTTTTTCTGAAAATTATTTATGTTTTAAAATGAACATACATTTAGGTGCATATGTCTGGGTTATTTTATGCCACACATTCAGGAGGAAGCCAGGGAAGGGTATCTGATTTCCTGGAGTTGGAGTTACAGCAGTTGTGAGCTACCTGATGTGGGTGATGGAAACTGAACTTGGGTCCTCTATAAGACCATCAAGGGCTTTTAACTGCAGAGCCATGTCTCCACTTCCCTCCTTCCCACATTTAATCAAGACCATCGGACCACACCTACGTCCTGATTTCATCCACTCTTGTATTTCTTGGCTCTTCCTTGACAGATCAGTTACTCATCCTCACTACCCAGCCTCAGTGACAAGATACAGTTCCCATCTTTTCTGCGGACACTGACTAGTGACCTCAAATCATCTTTTTCAGTGATCCAGCTGATAACTCACTTTCAGTGGTCCTGGGTGATCATTCTGGCCCATGATGATGACTTTGGGCAGCAGGCCAGCTCTCTGGCCAATCAGGAGCTAAGTCAAGCTGGTGTATGTATTGAGTTCATACTCCACGTCCCTTCCCATGAGTCCTTGGGGAAGATTGAAGAGATTGTCCAGAAGATGCAGAAATGCACAGCCAGAGTTGTTCTGGTTTTCCTAAGCAATGCCAATTTCCAAATAATCCTGTATGGCTTATTGGGCACCCCTATCTCAGGCCAGGTCTGGGTCAGCAAGGGTACTCTGCACATGGCACTCGCCCTGACCATTCCAGATGTTTCCCAGGTACTGCATAGCACATTTGGCCTTCTGTATCACAGCAGCAGGGCAATTGGTTTCCCCGAGTTCCTTGCCGACCTGCGCCCCAGCCAGACCCCAGAGGACATGTTCATAAAGAAGTTCTGGGAGTTCACCTTTGATTGTGTATGGTCTCACCAGAGCAGCACAGTGAGTGAGGGTGTCCAGATGTGCTCAGGGAATGAGAGTCTGAAAAACAAGCTGTACCCTTTCCAAGAAGTTAGTAAGATGGATGCTGCTTACACAGGTGTCTACAGCATTGCCCATGCCCTGCAGGACATGATAGATGATGAGCACCAGCATGGGAAAGGTACAGACTCTCAGGACTTCCATCCCTGGCAGGTGAGAGAGGCATGTGTGCAGTGCGTGATTCAGGGATGGATGGGGAAGAGGACTTGGCTTGTGACTTAACTGTTGAGGTAAAGCTGACTCAAGCTTCAGCAAGGAATCCTCACACTTGTAACTGAGAGGCATCTTAATAGGAACAATGGACAAGGATTCCAAGGTGTCTCTCTGATCTCAGATGAGTCTAGTTCTTGTGTATTTCCTGAATTAACAAATAGAGGATGTCTAGTAAAAATTAATATTTCAGATAACACTAAAGACCTCTTATTAATATCCAAAATTTATACTTTGATAAGCAGTGTAAGAGTTTTACTATTCTCATGCTGCAAATCAGGATTTTAAACACATATAAAATGTCATTCATTATTTTTCCTTCTTTTGGTGTGTGGTACATATGTCTGGACATAGGTTTGTGGGAAGGTCTGAGAATGATGAGGAATCACCTTTCAATCACTCACCTATGTTATTCTTTGTGGCAGGATCTGTCACTAAAATACAGAAATTGTTGATGTGTCTGGTTTTGGTAGCCATCTTGTTCTGGCCATCTCCTGTCTCCACCTGGTATTTTTTTTTGTTCGTTGTACTATAGCTTTTATCTTAGTATTTTTTTATTGAGTTATATATTTTCCTCACTCCTCTACCCTCCTGCCCTCCCCCATTTCACCCTCCCCCAAGCCCCCTGCATTCCCTATTTACAAGAATCTCGTCTTTTTTCCCTTTCCTATGCAGATCCATGTATGTCTCTTAGGGTCGTCTCTGTTACCTAAGTTTTCTTGGGTTGTGACCTCTGGGCTGGTTGTCTTTTCCTTTATGTCTAGTATCCACTTATGATCTGGGTTACCTCACTCAAGATGGCTTTTTCCAGTTCCAACCATTTGCTTGCAGTTTTCAAGATGGCATTGTTTCCTTCCTTCCTTCCTTCCTTCCTTCCTTCCTTCCTTCCTTCCTTCCTTCCTTTCTTTCTTTTCTTTCTTACAGCTGAGTAGTACTCCATTGTGCAAATGTACTACATTTTCCTTACCCATTCCTTGGTTTGAGGTGCATGTAGGTTGTTCCCATGTTCTGGCTATTATTGATAATGCTGCTATGAACATTGCTGAGCAAATGATCTTGTGGTATGAATGAGCATCCTTAGTGTATATGCCCAAGAAAAGTATTGCTGTGTCTTGAGGTAGAATGATTCCCAATTTTCTTAGAAACCACTATACAGGTTTCCAAAATGGTTGTACAAGTTTGCACTCCCATCAGCAATGCAGGAATGTTCCCTTTTCTCCACCTCCTTTCCAGCTTAAGCTGTCAGCAGATTTTTTTGTTTTTAGCCATTATGATCAATGTAAGATGGTATCTCAGAATTGTTTTGATTTGCATTTCTCCAATGACTAAGGATGCTGATCATTTCATTAAGTGTCTTTTGGCTGTTTGAGATCACTCTGTTGAGAGTTCTCTTTTTAGATCTGTACACCATTTTTCATTTGATATTTGAGGTCTAGTTTTTTCAGTTCGTTTGTGGTTTTGACATCAGTCATTTGTCAGATGTTGGGTTAGTTGAGATATTTTCCATCACGCAGGGAGCCGTTTTGTCTTGTTGATCATGTCATTTGTTTGCTTCTTAGTTTCAGGATGTCCCATTTGTTGTTGTGTCTGTGATATTGTTGTTATATTTGGCAAGTAGTCTCCTATGCCAACACATTGAAGGCTCCTTTCAACTTTCTCTTCTATGAGTTTCAGTGTGGTTGGTTTTATTTTGAAGTCTTTGATCCATTTGTATTTGAGTTTTGTGCATGGTGATAGATATGGATCAATTTCCATTTTCCTACATATCAGTTTCCAGTTACGCCAGCATCATTTGTTGAAGATACTTTCTTTTTTGCATTGTATATTTTAGCTTCTTTGTCAAAAATCAGGTGTTCATAAGTGTGTGTATCGGTATCAGGGTTGATTCTTCAGGCCTCTTCCTCAACTGCTGGCACACACTCTCTCCCAGCTTCAGGACCTGTCTCTCAGTTGCTGTCTGTCTGTCTGTCTGTCTGTCTGTCTGTCTGTCTGTCTGTCTGTCTGTCTCTCCATGCTTATGAGCCTCTGGATCAGCTGTTGACACTGTCTACTCTTTATGCCTTCTCAGATTGTAGGTAGAAATGGGCTGCTACATATTTAGTTGGGTTCTGAGGTTTCAATTCCCATCCTCAAGGCTTTATGACAAGTGTTTTTAACACAGAGCCATCTACAAGACCTCACTTATTTTTCTATTTTAAAAATAATATTGATAATTTCATACATACGTATGACATTTTGGTCATTAACCAGTCCATGATTTAAGTGACTCTATCATTGCCTAGGTGAATGGCATGTGATATTTTGGACAAGACTCCAGACTGTTCCTGATTGGTCTACAATGTCTCCCTTCCTTCTTCAGCTTCTTCATGCCCTAAGGAAGGTCCACTTCAAAACTCCTGATGGAAGTGAAATTATGTTTGATGCTAATGGAGATTTGGTGACCAAGTTTGACATTTTCCAAGGGCAGAAGTCCCCCGAGGGTGTATTTCACTTGGTCCATGTAGGAATGATAGACCCTCAAGTCTTTTTGGAGAATAAAATGATGATCCATTTGAAGGAGGATCTTCAAGTGAGTTGCCTGAATGCACAGTTGTGTATTTTCCTAGTGTGTTAAAGTCATAGGGAAATTCTGATTCTAAGAGTCCTCATTGCTACATGTGCATGACGATAATGCAGTTCTGGATTGTGTCAGTCAGTTGTAACTGGATATGCTGTTCATCTCATAAAAGTGAGATGAATGATAATGATTCATAAGCAAGAAATGAAAATATAAAAGCTGGGTATTTGGAGATGGCTCAACGGTTAAAGTATTTGGTGTTCAAATACAAGGACCAGACTCTGGATCTCCATAGTACTGAATGGGCAGTGTGGCCCTCCTGTAGTTTCATCCTTGGAAGGTGGAGACAAGGAGATGCCCAGGGCAAGTTGGCTAGGGAGACTTTCCCTATCAATGACTTTGATTTTTACTTTGAGCCTCTGCTTCAGTGAACACAGTGGAAGCCATTGAGGATGGTTCTCAACATTAACCTTGGTCCTCCAACTGCACTTGCTCATACATGAATATGAACCCACATAGATTTACAAATACACATATAACCATTTATACCACACTCATACACAAAATGGGAAACATGCATATCAGACTCATAAGAGAATCTGCAGCTGTTGCTCCCTTGGGAGTATTTTCAGTGTCTGTGTTCAGGACCTGCTTTGAATAGAGGAAGATAATGACACCCTAATTTAAACACCTTCCCAGGGACCATGTGGGGAATGGACGCAACAGACACTCAGTTTACTTGCTAAGTTAGTTTATTTCAGCACCCATAAGAAAAACCTGAGAAACAGTTTGAAATCAGGAAAAGATTTAATTGCCTCATGGTTTGAGAGATTCATGATCAGATGCATTCATTACTTTGTATGTTAACTTCCTTGGGTTGAAGTTTTTCTTCTAGACATTTCTATAGGGCTGGATTTGTGGATACGTAGTGTGTAATTTTTTTCATGGAATATCTTGTATAGTAATTGAGAGTTTTGCTGGGAATAGTAGTCTCAGCTGGAATGTGTCGTCTTTTAATGTTTGTAGAACATCTATCCAGGACCTTCTGGTGTCAGAGTTTCCATGAAGAAGTCAGGTGTAGTTCTGATAGGTTTGCCTTTGTATGTAACTTGGCCTTTTTCCTTTTCTGCTCTTAATATTCTTTCTTTATTCCGTATATTTGGTATTTTAATTATTATGTGGCAAGGAGACTATTTTTTTGTTCCAGTCTATTTGGTGTTCAGTAAGTTTCTTGTACTTTCATAGGCATCTCCTTCTTCAGGTTGGGAAAGTTTTCTTCTATGATTTTGTTAAATATGTTTTCTGCACCATTGATCTGGGCTTCTTCACCTTCTCCTATACCTGTTCTTCTTAGGTTTGGTCTTTTCACACTGCCCCATATTTCCTGGATATTTTTTTGTTAAGGACTTGTTGGATTTAAGACTTTCTTTATTCGACAAATCTATTTCCTCTAGTTTATCTTCAGCACCTGAGATTCTATCTTCCATCTGTTGTATTTTGTTTGTTATGCTTGCTTCTGTAGTTCCTGATTGTTTATTCAGCTTTTCTATTTCCAGCCTTATCTCAGTTTGTGTTTTTTTGTCTCCATTTCAATTTTTATGTCTTGATCTGTTTGAATAATTCCTTTATTTGTTTGATTGTTTTTTCTTTTCTTTCCTTGCTTTCTTTAAGAGATTTGTGAATTTCTTGCATTTTTTTGGTTTGAATTTTTCTTCCATTTCTTTAAGGGATTTTCTCATGTCGCCTTTGAGTGCCTCTGTCATTATCTTGAGGTTGTTTTTAAGGTCATTCTCTTCTGTTTCATTTGAGCTGGGATTGTCTGATCTTGCTGGTGTAGAGTCTTGACACTCTGGTGGTGTCACATAGGTTTCTCTGTTGTTGGATGTATTCTTATACTGTGTTCCTCTCACCTCTTCTTTCCTTTGGTATAGGGGAAGTCTCTGCCTCTCCTGGTGAGTATGGGTTCAGGGCTCTTTCCTCTCTTCCCTCTCTTTTTCTTTCTCCCCCTGGAAGGTGGAGGGGCAAGACCAGAATTGCGGCTGATGATGGTGGCTGCTTTCTTCTCCCTCCAGGTCCCTCTGCAGGGTTCGGCAGCCTCATTTTTCTTGCTCCTCATTCTCTACCTCCAGATTTCTCCTATCCTGTTGCTTGCCAGCACCACCTATCATTCTCTTGCCTTGATTTTTTTTGCCACTCAACACTTTATTAGACCAATTAGGTGTTATAAACAGGCAAAATAAAACAGCATGACCAAGTTAAAGAAATGCAACATGCAAGAATGCGCTGCGTGTTTGAATCATTAGACAAATGTTCCACAGCATAAACAAATTCAACACAGCATAAAATATTCTACAAGACCCCTTGATATCTCTTATACAGCAAACACATTCAATTTGGTGGCTTAAATTTTCAGAGTTTTAATCTATTATCTTCTTGGTGCCACATGGCGGCACACAGGCAGACATGTTGCTGGAGAAGGAACAGAAGTCCTAGATCTGGACCAGGAAGTGAACTGGGCCACTGGGTGACTTAAGTGTATAAGATAACCCACAGAGCCCACATTTACACGGACACACTTTCTTCATCAAGGCCACACCTCCTCCAACAAGGCCACACCTATTCTAACAAAGCTATGTTTCCTTGTAGTGCCACTCCCCATGAGCTTGTGGGGGGCAATTACACTCAAACGACCACAGTCATTAGGATGCCATCATTCTTTCTTCTCAATATATTTTTTACTTAAATCAGAAACACGCTTGCTTCACATGTTGATTGCAGCTCTCTCACCCATCCCTCCTCCCTTGTGCCTTTACTTGCCCCCCACCAACCCCGGCACAATCCCCACACCATTCCCCATGGAGGGTGAGACCCCCCCATGGGGGATCTCCAGAGTCTGTCATTTCATCTGGGGCAGAGCCTAGGCCTTCCCCCATGTGTCTAGGCTGAGAGATGTTCCCTCCCTGTGGAATGGGCTCCCAAAGTTCATTCATATGCCATGGTAAACACTAATCTACTACCCACAGCCCCAGAGATTTCCCAGGCCTCCTCACTGACACCAATTTCAGGGGGGTCTGGATCAATCCCCTGCTGGCCTCTCAGCTATCAGTCTTAGGTCCCAAGCTCCCCCTTTTCTGGTCCACTGTCTCTGTGGGTTTTACCAGCACTGTCTTGACCCCTTAGCTCATCACTCCTCCCTCTATGTCACTGGGTTCTAGAAGTTCAGTTCAGTGTTTAGCTCTGGGTATCTGCCTCTGCTTCCATCAGTTACTGGATGAAGTTTCAAAGATAGTATATAATATAGTCGTCCATCTTATTATCAGGGAGGGGAAATTAAGGTAGTCTCTTCACTATTGCTTAGTTTGCGAGTTGGTGTCATCCTTGTAGGATCTATGGAAATCCCATTAGTGTTAGCTCTCTCCTAAAACCTATAATGACTCCTTCTGTTAAAGTATCTCTCATTCTGGTCTCCATTCTTCTCCGGACTCAACCTAACTGCTCACCCATATCTTCCTGTCCTCTCCTCTCTTCTTCTCCTCTATTTTTCCTGGTTCCCTCTCTCCTCCCCCCCCATGCTCCCAATCTGCTCATGAGATCTTGCTTCATTATTCTTCTCTGGGGTGTCTTGCATATTTCTCTTGTGACCCTCCCTGTTTCCCAGACTCACTAGGATGCAATCATTATTTAAATACCCATATCAGGTAACCAGTAGTCCAACACAGAAGCCTTTGGGAAACATTTGAGATTGAAACCCTGAAATTTATTAGCAAAATTAGAAGCAGTGTTGAGATAGGTATGTCTGTATGTGGAGTTTGGTGTATAGAAATATCTCAACTTTCTGCCCTATGACAGTGGACAGAGAGTGCCCTAGTCTGACACTTTGTCTGACTTGTTTTGATGGCATCTCCAGTCAATGGTGGCCTTAAAGCTCTCCACATGAGAATGAGGTTGTTATATTTAGGCTTCTCATTCATAAAGGACACATAGTAAGTGTTTACAGGATTCTTTTGAAGAACCTTTCAGTGGCCTTGATCTGGGGAGGGTTTTCTGCTGTCTTCTGTTGTGGTAGAGATGTCAGCACCCCAAACTTCCACCTTCATAACCCTTGCCTGGAAGTAGAGATATGCTAAGAGAAACTAAGTCTTCCTTGGCAGGCTCAAGGTAAATAAGAGGACAACTGAGTGTGCTATGATAGTTGTCTGTGTGTGTGTGTGTGTGTGTGTGTGTGTGTGTGTGTGTGTTGAGTGAGTTGGTACCTACAATTTGTCCCTTACTAAACTGGATGGTACTTTTTTATTAGTGACACATGTAAACTTCAGCAGCTTCACAGATGGAGATTGAGAAAAGGAATATTGACTGTCATGTCTTCTGAGTTAGACTTGAGGCCATCGTGTAATAAGTAGGCAGTTGGGAGTTTCAGTGAAAGAGAAAAAAAGCATCAGAAAAATTTGCCCAGATTATGGACTTTTGTAATGGCTTCAAATATCTACAGTTCTTTTTTAAGTTTTATTTGCATTCATGGAAATTTCCCAGCATGTATACTTATACAGCATATGCATGCCTGGTACCGATGCAGGCCAGAATAGGGCACTGGATCCTCTGGAACTGGAGGTACAGTGTGAGCTGCTATATGAGTGCTGGGACTTGAATTCGGTTCCTCTGGAGGAGCCGCCTGTACTCTGAACAACTGAGCCTTCTCTCCTGACTCCATACCTTCAACTGTTGAGGAGACTGCCCCAGAGAGACTGCAGAAACCATATATCAAACTGTTCTATGTTTGCTAATCCCTTTATCAAGAGAGCCTGATGTAGCCCTTCCTCTCTTACACTCAATGGTTCCTGTCCAGTCTGGCATCTCCTGGGATAGACATGTTTTCGGGAAGGCCTCTCATTAAGTAGCCTGCAAGGAAACTCTCCTGTTTTGGTTCTCAGGGTGAGGTCAAGCATCTGTGTCCCTGTAGATTCACTGGTGATACTATGCTCTTTGTTACTAGGTGCCCACCTCTGTGTGCAGTGAAAGCTGCCTTCCAGGGTTCAGCCAAGTGCCTAGGCTGGGAGCCCCCCCAGTGCTGTTTTGATTGCAGTCCTTGCCCGGAGGGACAGTTCGCAGACCAAAAAGGTGAGGACATGTAGAGCTGGCATCTGAGGAGTTAACAGGACACTGTAAGCCTACAGCATTTGTCCATTGTCTCAGTTACTGTTCTCCTGCTGTGAAGAGACACCATGACCAAGGCATCTTCTAACAGAAAAACATGCAAGTGGGGCTTACTTAAAGTTTCAGGGGCTGAGTCCATGACCACCATGGCAGGAAGCATGGCATCATACAGGCAGGCATGGTGGAAAGGAGTCACTAAAATTTTACATTCTGCTCCTCAGGCAGCAGCCATATGGACAGTGGGACTTGTGTGGGAGTTTGAACTTTCAAAGTCCACCCTCACTGACACTCCTCATCCAACAATGCTACACCTCCTAATCCACTCCCAACAATTTACCAATTAGGCATTAAACAATGAAGTATATGTGTCTATTGGGATCATTCTCCTGCAAAATACCACACCCATCCATCTGCAGATGCTGCCTAGTCTGTGCTTTTCTGTGCAATATGGGCCAGAACACTAGTATTATAATTGTTCTTAGGTAAATGATGTATTGACACAGGAAAGTGAATGAACCCTAATTGTGCTGCATAATGAATTCTCCTCTGCAATATTGCACATCCTTGACCCATGGTCAAGGAACCAGCTTAAGCTGCTTCTATAAGCTTTAGTGGTCCCTTATTAGATCTGTGACTGCTGCTGACACTGATGAATTTCACTTACATTAAAAACCTCTCTTGAATGAAATTGCATGGTAGTTGTCCTTTTGTGACAATCTTCTTCCTCTGTTTCGGTGAAGTTCATCTCAGATGTTGAATGGTGACAGTCAACCACATTGACAGCTTTTTGAACATTAGAACATATTCCATTACAGTTCTGCAAGCTGGAAATGAAAAGCCAAATCATCATCTGAGGTGGTTTTGTGTTGAGTCCTCACTCTTGCCCTGACACAGTCTTCCACTCAATGTATGGTGTCTATTTGTCATGTGTTTGTGTCTCTCTGTGTGTGTGTGTCTTGTAATGTTTTTTTGGGCTTGTTACTTGCTTTTGAGACACTGCCTCACCATGCAGCCCTGGCTGTCTTGTAATTCTTTTTTTTAATCATTTTTTATTTTAATTTTAAATAGCTTGTTTTATATGTCAATCCCAGTTCCCTCTCCCTCCCCTCCTCCCGCACTCCCCTTCCCCCCCACCCTCCCACCCTATTGCCAAATCCTTCCACATAGGGGATATCTAGAGTCTGTCATTTCACTATGGGTAGGGTCCAGGCACTCCCCTAAGAGTCCAGGCTGAGAGAGCATCCCTGTCTTGTAATTCTTAATGTTGACTAGCCTTCCACCAAACTAATAGTAGACTTTCTGCATTTGCCCCTCAAGTTCTTAAATAACGTCTATTTCTCCAAGCTCCAAGTTCCCCTTTTAATCAGGTTAGCAGCTTGTGGGTACTAGGTTACCCACTGGTGACGTCATTTAACATTTATTACCTCATATTAAGTTTACTCATGAGAAAATATATCTCATTTCAACGTGTTTAGGACAGGACTTCTGCACATGTGTTTTGAGGCCATATGCCATCCTAAAACATTTGTTAGCATGATCA